AATAGATGAATAAATAAAGAAGATGCATGATATCTGTGTGTGTGTGTGTGTGTGTGTGTGTGTATTTAAAGGACTACTATTCAGCCATAAAAAAGAATGAAATTTTTCCATTTGAGACAACATAGACGGACCTGGAGGGTGCTATGCTAAGTGAAATGTCAGACAGAGAAAGACAAAGACTGTATGATTTCCCTTATATGTGGAATCTAAGAAACAAAACAAATGAGCAAACACAACAAAACAGAGTTACAGACACGGAGAACAAACAGGTGGTTGCCAGAGGGGAAGGAGGGAGGAGGAGAGAACTAGGTGAGGGAGATTAAGAGGGACAAACTTTCAGTTGCAAAATAAATGAGTCGCGGGGATGAAATGTGCAGCCTGGGGAATACAGTCGATTACTGTGCGACACCTTTGCGTGGTGACACCTCATGACTAGACTTATCCTGGTGAGCGTTTTGAAATGCAGAGAAACATGGAACGACTGTGTTGTCTAACAGGAATTAACACAGTGTTGCAGGTCAATTATACTTCAAAAAGAAATTCATAGAAAAAGAGATCAGATTTGTGGTTACCAGAGGCAGGGGTGGGCAGAGGGGGAATTGGATGAAGGTGGGTCTAAAGACATAAACTTCCGGTTGTAAGATAAATAAGTACCGGGGATGTAATGTACAACATGAGAAAAATAATTAACACTGCTACCCCTATATATGAAAAGCTGTTAAAAGAGTAAATCCTCAAGGTTCTCATCACAAGGAAAACCCATTTTTTTCTATTTCTTTAATTTTGCATCCATATGAGTTAATGGATGCTCGTTACACTTGCGATAATCATTTCATGATGCAAGTCAGTCAGACCACTTCAACTTTCCACAGTGCTGTATGTCAGTTACAGCTCAAAAAAAACTGGAAGAAAGCATTTTTAAGAAGAATCTTTAGCTCTTGAACATTACTGGTCTCTCTAGGTTTTTATGCAAATAGAGAACTTAGAATGACTGAAAGGCATAATAGTATTTAGAATTCATTTTCCTTGGTAGAGACTGTGATGCATTAGCTTCTGGGAACAAACACATACAGGTTCTTAACTGAATTATCCAACATGGAAACATTTAAACACCTGAATGGAGACCTGCCTCCTGCATCTGCTTCTTGAAGTGCTTGCGCTTCTATCTCCATGTTTTTGGAGCAATTGCCTGCGTGATGTTTACCGTTCCTGCAATTCTTCAGCTAAGAAATAGAATCCCATTCAGCACATCCGCGAAGCCACATCTGGGATGGGCTGTGCCAGAGGCACCGAGTCCAGGACGTGTGTCATCACAGGGTGCGCGCCTTGTACCCTGAATCCCTTTGAGAACTGCCTCAGACCACCTGCGCAGTCCCCTTCTGTCTTCACAAGAATTTTACACATATTTATGGACGTGATTCTGTCCTCCAGTGAATTTTGGGGGCATGGACTAATTTGTGTTTCTTACAGCCATACTTGGCACCATCTGTATACAGTACATCAAACTAAGAGGTGAGACCTTAAATTTAAATTTAAATTTTTTTTAAATTAAAAATTAAAAACAATTTGAATAAAATTTAACAACAACAATGCCGGGAAGCTCAGTCGGCTAACACACGTAATCTGCTGTGTCTGTATATAAGTCAGTCTGGGGGCATCTTAACTTTTTGACAAATTTCAAAACACAGGAGCCCCCGTGGTTTCCAGGGCCCAGATGACTCATGAGAGATGAATTTCCCTTTGCTCTGTACGGCCCTGAATCCTACTGAATTTAATTGCTAAACCAGGTGTTTGTCTAGCTCAGAAAAACAGCGAGCAGGAGAGCCCACGTCGGCGCCTCGCCCCCGGCCCACCCGCCCGTCTGCAGGAGGTGCTGACTCACCGGGGGACAGCCTGGCGCCCCCCGCGCCTGAGCGCCGCGGGCAGGAGCGGCCTTGCCTCCAGCACCTTTCACTTACAGTCTACCAGCCCCGCGTCCGTGCGGGCCTGAGAACTGCGGGGGCAGCTCTGCCCACGCCGCACCCCAGCCCGGCTTGTGCTCAGACGCCAGCTCAGAAGGGAAGCTGCCCCCTCAAGGCTGCCAGCCCCCCTCCCCGTGTGCCCACCTCCAGGTGGCAGGCTTAGAGATCGTTAAGAAAGGGAAGCAAAACCCTGATGGTTTTTTTCCAGCTGTGCTGGTTGGAGGGGTTGGAGTGGGGCCGATGAAGGCTGTGGACACTGGAAACATCCCAGTTGGTCCTTCAACCCAAGGACCGTGTCTGTGGCCTGAGGGCCCCCAAGGGGAAAGTGGATTCACGCTCGAGGGAGGCCAGCCAGGCCCACGTGTCCATCCACGCTGACCCGGTAGCCGCTTGGCCCGCTCTCGGCCCCAGGCCCGGCCTCCACCAGGGAACTCGCCGAGGGCTCCAGCCAGAGGCTCGGAGGGTGAGGGTCTCCCGCCCACCCTGCGCCAAGGAGGCCCCTGCAGAGGCAGTCACAGAGGGCACAGGGCTGCTCCTCAGAGGCAGTGTGACATTGACCTTGCTCCCCACCCCAACCTTTCTGAGCCTCCAGGTCCCATTGGCTAAATGTGGATATTAATTCCTGGTCTGGGGTGACTGGGGGTGCTCAACACCCAGCCAGCAGCTCCTGGGGTCCTCAGGGCCTGATACCCTCCCCACCCCTGTTCCTAAACAAGGTTGAAGGCCCTCGGGCCCTCCCCGCCCAGTGGCACAACATCCTTGATGAGAACAACCTGCCCGCAGCGGCCCGGACCCCCTGCTGAGACCCACCCCCAGCCCACCTCCAACCTAGGACCCCTCCTCCCAGAACCCAGCTGCCCCGCTGGCCCCACCACCTGGACACCCCCTACCTAGCAATTCCTCCCCCATGTCCAGGCTCCCACCACACATTCCCCCAGCCACACTCGCGGTCCCTGCACCGTAAGCCCCTTGGGACGTTTCAGCCTCCTTTCACAGTCGTCTTCCGAAAGCATCCCTGCCCGATGCCGGGCTGTGGGCCCAGCGCTGGCCTGGCCACACCCTGTACTGGCAGGTGATGGCACCTGCTGTCCCAGGACCGCACGTTCCTCCAGGGACAGCCCCACCCGGTGCTGCTTCTGCTGCCCCCAGGGCTGGGTGCCGGCTGAACCCTGGAAGGGGCTGCCCCGCTGCCGGGCATGGCCCTGACAACAGAGGCTTCGTGCCCAGTGGCTGAGTGTGGGGCTGAGGAGGACAGCTGGGAAGCCGGAGTGTAACCAAGGCCTAGAGACAGCCTTTGGAGGAGCAGGATGGACCACCTGTTGGATGCTGCAAATCCGAGATGCTGACAGGGGCCTGGGAGCCCTGGCCCAGAGTCACCACAGCGAGCAGGGGACAAACCAGAGCCCCTCTCTGCACGTGGGGTGTGAGTGCCCCCCCGCCAGGACAGTCCCCCTCGCACCACTGCACGGAGGAGGAAAGACCCTCGAATAAAGAGATTTCTGATGGGGCCACAACCCTGAGGCCAGGTGCTGCGGATGGCACCGCCCACATCCCCACCCCGCACGCGCACACACGGCCCTTCACACATACTTCACAGACACCCACCACATGCACACACACGCTCATACTCGTCCGCGCACGTGCACACAGACACGTTCTTATACACATACACACGTGCACACAAACGCACACTCGGACACACGCAGGCTCCCGGCTTCCCTGCCCTGTCCCCTCCCCCTCTGGCTCCCCATCCTGCCTGTGCACCACTTCTCTGGGAGGATTTTTCAAACCCTGACTTTGCACCAGAATCCCTGCAGCAGGGCAGCCTGGTTCCCGGCGAGAGCTCAGCCCTATCCTGACCCTTTGCTGGGTCCCCCACTTAGAGTCAGAGACCTCAGGGTGCTAAGTCTTCTGGGGCCCCTGGGCTGGACGCGGCCCCTCCCCATGTTGAGATGCAGGCCCCCGGATGCCGCCTCCCCGCGCCCCCACAGCGGTCCGGGCCTGGCCTCACGCTCTGCACGACGGTCCCACACTCGTTCCACGCAGCCACCAGAATCACGTGCGTGCTGTTGCGGTCGCTGACGCCGCAGGATGGGTGGCCCAGGTACAGGGAGGACTCGGGGATGGACTCCTGCTGCAGGAAGCGCTTCTGGATGGCGATGGCCACCTTCTCGATCTCACAGAGCACCTTGACCGCTCCGGTCAGGTTCAGCCGTGGGGGCAGGCCCTGGGGGGTCGGGTGGGGCCCCTGCGCAGAGACAGTCCCAGTTCCTGCCGCGGTAGGGGGCCGGGTCGTGTTGCCAGAGGGGTCGCCTGCAAGGCATGAGGAGAGAAAAGCATAGGGTGGGTCTGTGTTTTGGGACCACCAGGTGAGCCCAGCTGGGGAGGTGGGCACTGAGGGGCCGGTTGGACAGCAGACGTGCACACCTGGGGCTGCACGTGCCAGCACGGCCACACACACGCGTGTTGCATGTTCCTGCCAGCCCAGGCAGCGGGGCCTGGCGTGGCCCCCGTGGCCCCCGTGGCCCCCGTGGGCAGGGGAACTGAGACGCCCTCCGCCCTCCCAGCCTCTCCAGCCCGACACTGGGCAGGCGCCGGACCCACTGACTTGGGATCAGCCATCTGCCCCCGGGGCCCCGAGTCTTAGCTCTAAAATGGGTTAATGAAGTTTACTCTCAGGACCCTCGAGCCTAGATGGCAGGGGTCATCTCAGGGTCAACACTGAATCCCCAAAAGCTCCAATTAATGGAAAAAGTGTGGAGTGGAAAGTGCGGCCGAGTAGAAACATTTCCATGTGTTGTCTGTCACTCGGGCAAGATCATCTTCTAGCATCTGAGAGGACACACCTGAGTTGACGTGTGTGCGTTTTCTCAGCACAGGCGTCAGGAGAAGTGCTTGCGGGCACCACCCGGAAGGCTGGAGGGGTATGGAGGGCTGGGGAGGCACAGGCACGCACAGGCACACGCACCCACATACCCACATGCATGTGAGCGTGCGCGCGCGCGCGCACACACACGCTAGGAGACTTGCCCGGGACACAAAAATATGCTGACCTCATTTGCAAGACACACTTTTGGGGTGAATATCCTTAAAAGAACAGACTACCCGACAGTATTCCGGACAAGGGGTCCTGAGACTCTTACCTTCACAGGGTCTTCCAGAATATTCTACGGGGCCGCCGGGGGCGCCTCCCCCGCAGCTGCAGGTGAACGACCCCAGGGAGTTGCGGCAGGCGGAGCCCGGTCCGCAGTCGTCCTCCCTCCTCTCGCACTCGTCGTAATCTGCGCGGCATTTAGAAAGCTAGTCCGGAGGCCCTCCGCGGCCGCCCGACGGGGCAGGCGCGCCTCGGGGAGCGAAGCTCCGGTGCCCAAACGACAGCCGGACTCCCGGGTTCGGGAGCCAGAGCGGCTCCGACTTTCTGCCGGGGGGGGGTGGGGCCGGGGC